AAAACCTTAGGAAACGAGGTAAGTAAGTAAAACCTTAGGAAACGAGGTAAGTTAAAGTTAAAGTAGAGGCCGACGCTAGAAGTTGGAGGTCAGCACCTAAGTTTGGAGGCCCAAGCAACAGCAAGCAGCAGCAAGCAGCAAGCCGCAGCTATGCCCACCCAACTCTGCTGACTGGATAGGAAAGCATCCAGCCAAGCAGAGTGGACGCGCCGGCCCTAAGGGCAACCGGCAAGCCAACTACTAGAAAGGTACCACAAATAGAAAGAGGCCATAGCGACAAGGTTGGAGGCCTGCGCAATAGGTTAGAGGGCCCATAAGACACAAGGCAGCGAACAAAAACACAAAACAAAACCGAAAACGGATTGTGACTCCAAAGGTTGCACTGCAACATTAAGAAAACATCAAGATTTGCGAGTGTCATTCCTTTCAACTGCAACAACGTGGTACACTGCAAGATTTGTGCGTGTCATTCCTTTCAACTGCAACAACATGGTACACTTCAAGATTTGTGCGTATCATTCCTTTCTTCTGCAACAACGTGGTACACTTCAAGATTTGTGAGTGTCATCCATCAAACTTCAAAAGAAACCCTGTGACTACAAGGGTTACACACACACACACACGTTTGGCAACACCATGTCGGCGCTGGCGAACTCGCGGACGCGCTTTCGGCCGACACTGTAAGCGTAAATCCCTTTGAAGCAATGGCTACTGAGTACCGTTTTGCGGATTCCTTGTGAAAGTTGTGCATGGAAGCAGGAAAGCACGTAGTTGCAACATACGATTGATGCGCCGAATGCTACATTCCCTGAGAAACATAATGGACGCCTGGACGAGACGTCTGTCAATGTTGTTGCGCTGATGAATTGCAAGCACCTCGCATACAGTGCCGAGGCTTGACGCGCTGCAAGCAGCGGTGGTCCTTCTCCCGGAGGTGGGGAGGGAGCACCAGGAGAGCCCGACCCTGTTTTGGGGGGGGCTGGAACCCAAAAAGGTTGACCCCGGTTCAAAAGGCTGTAAGTTGCCCACCCCATCCGGGAGATAAGGCTGCACGTGCCAAAAACCGAGTGAGCGAAAACTTAGTGCAACTGTGGGTGCCTACCCCTCCAAGGCAGGGGGGCAATTTTTTGTATTCAATTTTGCGACAGGAAAAACATGCGGGGCTCACTGAGTTGTCAGGGGCTAAACCTTGGCCCTCCACAGCTTGGGTGCACGGGGCCCTATACAACAACCCTATACAGCCCTGTACCCACTTGGTCTATTCTGTGCAGCAACTCAAAAACAGGTTGAAAAACATCTTCCTGTTGCCGTGCCAGGTGCCTCCAATCACACATGTGACTTGGAAGCTGTCAGGAGAAGATACCAAGATTTGACAAACATTTGGAGGTGGTAACCATTCCTCATTTTTTTGGGGGGCCAAGTGTGCAGTCAGCCTTTTTCGCACTGTGCATGTTGCAGTCAGCCTTGGGAGACCACTCAGACGTGGGACACCGGACACGGACCTGCTCATTTGCAGTGCTTTGCCGCCGTCGCTCATGGCTTTCTCATTCCGAAGCTCTCCGCCGAGTGGCGGCAACTTTCCGTGTCTCAGGTCACCATGACCTTTCGGAAACCGGAGGCGATGGACAAGGCCAGCTGAGTGTTGATCGTTTCGTGCGCTTTGGATCCTTCGCGGTTTGGGTGCACTCCTGGCGGGTCCCGCGCGACAGAACTTGAGTAAACACACACACACACGCACGCAAAGGGGCCCACCTCGTGGTGCCGAATTAGAGCTCGCGTGAGGTCGAGGATGTGATGTTGCGAGGGCGCCCGCTGGGTATCACCTTCACCAAAACCGTGAGGGGGCCCGGCGCTGTGCTCTGTGTGACGGGTCCCGGATCGATGCATTTTGCAGAGTTGGTTGGATTGAAGAATGCAGCTCAGCTGCTTGGTGGCTCATCCCTTCACCCGAAACCTCCAATCAGATCAAGATCTTCTTTGGCCTCCGAACGTGACCAAGGCACCGTTGAGAGTCAAGACGGTGAAACCGCACTCTCACTCAGCTGGCTGCTGTGGATGCATTCTTGAGTGGGAGTTGGTTTTGGCTGCAAATCTTGAGTGGGAATGGGCGCTGCGGAGGGCTAGGCTATATATGTTTCAATGCATAAAGGACAGTTGTGTGATTGTTTGACCACAGATTTATGACGAATTCTTCAAGTATATAAGTATACAGATGGTGTGCACCTTGCCAACGCAGATTTTCCTCCATTCCTGCGCTTCCTGCCTAGGCTCTCAGGGCACTTGTTCATACAGGAACCACTAATCGACCGGCTCTTTGATCATTCGTGGCTCTCAGGAAGGCCTTTGGCTTGTAGCGTTGAAATTGATGGGATGACTGGGGACGAGCTGGAAGTTCAACCTTCGGGTAAGGACCCAGGCCCTGGCCCGCACGCACATGCGCACCCGCCTGTGGTCTAAGGACTTGGTATCAGCAGAGGTTGGATCTTGTTGGGCATCGATGGGGAGCCACTGCCGCAGAGGTGGGGCAATGGTGGAAAGTCCACGTGCGGAGGTGGCTGAGATGGTGTGGGATGGGCTGCTTCTGGTGAACTCATCCACCTTTAATCCACCTTATTGCTCGTGTTCTATGATTCTTTGCGCCACACAAGCCTGTCATAAGTGTAAGTAGCTAAGTAGTTGCATTGCAAAAGACCTCTCAGGGGGTCCCACCGACCCTCACCACACTCACTGGTGCATCGAGAATTTTGCCGTCCTGCATGTCTTTCCGAAGCGGTCGAGCTCAGGCTCGAGGAGGCCATGGAGGTGGTGCAGTTCAAAGTCTCCAACCTTCCAGATCTCAAGTCGCTTGAGCGGATCATCCATGGGAGACCGCCCACCGCCCACGCCGGTGGACCGCTGATCGCTGGGGAAGTGCGAAGGAATGGCTTTCCATCGGTCTTTCCAACGGTATACCTCTACCCCGCGACGACGGGGCCGCCGGGGAGTTCCGGGGGTTCCCGGGCCGGGGAGATCCTGCACCAAAAGAAGGTCGCGCTCCAATAGAAGATGTGTAGGGTACGCAAAGGCAGTCTTTTTCTTGCAAAGCATGACGCAGTCAATCACTCGAGCAGATCTGCATGCTACCGAGATGTGGCTGGGGCGGTGTATAGATCCTCAAGGAACCACGGCAATAGATGTTGGAGTGTGTTCGATGTTTCTTTTAATATAGGTGTGGGTTTGATTCTATCCAACTGGTTGGCAAGCTGATGCTTGTCAGGACTTCTCCATTGGGTAGCCGCGGGTAGCCTGTCCTTGGCGAGAGCGGATCAGCTGAGGTAGCGTTCCAAGATCCGTTTCACCCAAGGAGGCTGGGACAGTCTGGGGATGGTTTATGTCGTTGGCAGGATGAGCTTGGTTCAGGGGTATGAGCTTTTTGCTTCAGCTTGGTCCAGGGGCCCTGCCAAATAGGGTTTTACAGCCATGATGGCGGCCGAGAAGGAAGAGCCAGTGGGCCAATTGCAAGCGTCCTGCCGATGCCCCAAGAAGATGTTAGTTGTTGCAGGTATTCTCGTTCTTGAACCTTTGGTGTACCTGGGTAGGGTCTCTCGGTTTTTGAGGGCATGCCGACCTCCAAAAAGTCGTGGGATCGTGCGGCTGAGGCGTCAAAGAACTCCTGGTGGCAGGGCAGGTCGTCCTGAGACGCCAAGCCAAGTGCGAACATCCAATGTCTACCTATCACTGATGGGTGTTTCGGATTGTTTCACTCACATGAGTCACATGAGGCTTAAGTTTTCGGGTTTCTGCAGTTTACATCTGGCCACTTTTTGCCTCCACTTGGTTTTCGGGTGGGGGAATCGATCCATGGCAACTCGTTTTCTCCGTGAAAGCAAGGGTCTCGTCTTTTTTTTGAGTTTCTAGTAGGATGTAAGTAACGAACGCAGACCCATTTGCGTGCAGCTATGGTTTCAAATGCTTTTTTGGAAGGAACATCAGGCCATTTTATCATTAATTCCTAGCCTTCTACCATTCTACGCCTGTTCCTTTTAGGGCTTTTAGGGTCAGGGGGTTGGAGGAATGTGGTGATTTGGAGCATTTCACAACCACCTCAATGCACAGGAGGTTAAAGCCTCAGAAAGTGTGGTAGACACTTTGAAAAAGCGGGTCCTAATGATTTCAGGTTGGTGTACAGTGTGTGCAGGACAGTACACCGATTCTTTCACTTTGGCCTTTCAGGAACCTCCCGATGTCTTTCAGTGTCCCATCCCCATCTCACTTCGACAACTGCGGCCTGCCTGGCGCCCGCCACGCGGCGTGCCGAATCACGCCCCGTGATTCACGAAGTTCCGCGGCGCGGAGCACATGGTTGGGTGTGGCTCAAATTTGGAAGCCCCCGGCTGAGCATTCGGCCGCAGTCAAGCCGAAACAGAAGCACAGCTGTTGCAAAACGGTCAGACCCAGGTCCTTGAGCCACACCTGCGCTATGCAAGTGCCTGCCTGATTTGCCACGTGCACAGGTTTTTTGCTGCACCTTGCTTGAGGACTCTTGGTGAAACTGACAATGTTATCAGAGTAGATGGGGCAAACATGCACAACCCAATTGACCATTTGAGACGAAGATCCGCAAGCTCAAAGAGGAGCTCGGATGGTTTACCGACCATGGGACGTATTGGGCTACAGGAAAACCCTTGCAAAGTGTCTGACGCGATGTGTGGCAATGCCTCCGGGACTGCAAGGTTTCGGGGGCAGGTCTGGACGTGGCAGAGAAAAAGGCCTTCACGTGGCGCGGCCCTGCGTGGCAGTGCACCGACACCGAGGGTTGGGTGGGTCGGGTGTGGTTTGGACTCCGCGGTGGACTGTGCTGGCTGAGAATCCAGGCCCTCCTGTTGGGTTGATGAGTCGTCCTGCAAGCTTGTCTCCCGCTGGGCTGCTGCAAGCGAGCCCTGCCACAGGAGAAGCAGGAAAACATGGTAAAGAATGAGAGGGGGGTGATGATGCACTTGGACCCGCACTTAGACATGGTTTGTTCTAACTATATAGCTGTTCCTGCTTGTGATTGTTAATGAGTGCTCGGGCATCCTGCATTCTTCAACTGCTACAAATGTCACGAGTGGGTTCTTTGCATTCTCCACTTCGCGACACTGCAAAGTGGGATGGGACCATGCAAAGTGGAAGACTTGAAGTCTGTTTTTCTGTTTGCGGGACTTAGGACAGCCCCTTTATCATCAAGCTGTACGGCAGCTATCAAGATGACAACGCGGCTTCTTGGCAAAAGATTCATCACACCTGCGACGTGGTTTCAATCCATTCCTTGGAGACAGCTGCGAATTGACTGCCTCAGGTCTATTTCCTACTTGAAGCTTGTTTAGGCGGCTGCGACGGCAAACTCTAAAGATGCAGACACCCAAAGACCCAATCGGTCTCCAATGTGAGCCGCTCGAGCCCATCCCAAGCTTCCGATACGATAGTCATTATATAGACCATAATATAGACCTATGCTCTACGCCAGGCGGCGAGCTCTTCGATGTTTATACGGAGAACGACTTTTGGGGACAGGCTGTCCGTGGCTCAGACAGTGGCTGTCACGTGGCGTGGGGAATGTGTTGAGAGGTTGGACGGGACGACTGCCAGCCTTTTGGGACTGGTGCAGCTCATTCCTGTGAAGTGGAACCCTGATAGAAAAATAGCCGCAGTGTCAAGCTGGCTCTTGCGTTGGCCTGCATCAGGACAAAGCACGTTTTTACATTTCCAACGTGGCGCTGGGGCTGTCGCATCTACATGCAAAGTGAAGCCGACACAGTTTTTGTCACCGAACACCGATTTTTGGGATACTGTCGCTGGATGTTGAATCCTGATCGGGAAGTTGCAACAGGACCTATACACTCTGACCCACGTCCAGGAAGACCATTTTGTATGAACAGAGCTTTCTTTCACGTCCATGTTAGTGAGTGGGAGTGTAAGGATCCTGGACCGAGACTTGATGTTTTGTCAAGGCCTGGATGCGTTCTTTTTGGGGTCACTCCTCCTATTAAGAGGATGGGGGGAAGGCTGCTGGGACAAGATGCAAATTTTTGACAGTAGGGAAAGGGGGGCCTCAATGTGAGCAGAGTGTTGCCTCAAGATCTCTTTGTACTGCCAGGCATGTGATTTGGCGAGACCTCAAGCTGGAGAACTGCCTGATGGGTGAAAAGGTGAGGTCGATTGGGGGTGTGATGATTGGAATTGTCACGCCAAGGGCTCCTCATAAAAGATTGGCAATGAAACACGGAATCGCCACCTTTGGTTCAAGCTTTGCGACATGGCGGCTTCGTTTGCCCCCGCTGGTTCGTGCCATGGCGGACTCGGAGGCGCTGGTCCGTTCGATGCCGCCGTTGAAGCGGGCGCCCGGCGTACTGGGCACGGGCGCTGCCCCCCCACTACCCCACTTTGGCGCAGCGAGCGCGCTGCGCTCGGAGCTGCAAGCCTTGCGGACGGCCGAGGGCAGGTTGGATGCCTTGCTGGATGGAGAGCCTCGAGAGACTGTGGAGAGAGCGCCGGTCCTTCATCTTCAAAGGCCAGCGGCCTGTGCTGTGCCACAGGTGGCAGCTGCGAAGGTCGCCTCACCTCCAGAAGCGACGAGACTTGCCCGATCTGATGCCGGCGCACGCGCCGGGCCACCTATCTTTCCCCATCGAGGGCCAGTGCCACAAGTTGCTCATCAGGTCACAGCGGCTGCAGTTTCCACGCCAGGAGCCTTTGTTTTCGACTTGTCACTTGATCGATACTTTGCGGCCTGGTGCGCTGCGTGTGCTGAGATGCGGGCATACTGGCGCCAGCGTCGCAACGACAATTCCAGAAAGTGGTTGGGAACTCGCTCAAGTGCCCTCGCACTCTGGAGCTTTTTCTGTTCCCTAAGATGTCATGTGGATCAGCCATTGCAACGGCCAAGCCGTGGCATTCGCGTCCGCGAAAAGCAGACCCATTTCTCAGGCACCTTTTTCTCCTGCAGTGACCGCGGCATTTGTAAGATTCTCCTTGATGGAGATCGGGAGGTTTGCTTCCGAGCCGCCGAGGCCCTTTGGGAGATCGTCGCTTTACCTCATCCCTTCCTCGCCGGCCTGGCTTTTCTTGCTTGGACTCTGTCTCATGCGCAGGACGAAGATTTGAAGATCGATGGGCTGCGCACTGCCTTGATGTTCAACCAGGTCATGGGGAAGTCGTCAGGTAAACTCACGATGCTGGCGGTGATGCAAGAAGAGGCAGCCAAAGGCCTGAAGTTCTGTTTCGGTGCTTGGAAAAAGGCGATGAAGAGCAAATCTCTGAAGAAGTTCACGTTAAATCGACAAAGGGAGCTTTTCCGAGCGTGGCTGGAGATCCTTCTCATGGAGAAGCATGACAGGGCGATTGAGACCCTAGACTCCACGCGGTCCCGGTTAAGCAAAGCTGGGCAGCTGCGAGTGAAGAGGAATGAGCAATGCCTGCGAATCAAAGTGAAGCTGGAGAAGATGCACTTCCTCCGGTTGGGCTTCTTCAATCGTTTGATCCTGCAGTCCTGGCAGATGCTTTGCATCTATCGACGCGCGCAAGAAGAGGGCAAGAAATCCGCACGCCAGAAGTTGGCACTTTCATCCCTGCAACTCTCAGAGGTAATGTCGAAGAAGACCACGGCCTCCATCATGCCTCACTTCCAGGCCTGGGTGGCACGAGCACGACATGCTAAGAGGTTGACCAAGGCCGCGGAGGGAACCATCGCGACCATGTTAGGAGGCTCGCTCTCCGTGGTGTTTCGGGCTTGGAAGATGATGAAGATGAGCGACTATCAGAAGGTAGCTGCACAGCTACAGAGTCGCGAGCGGGAATTCAATGAGCTGTCAGAGATCTCCCGCTCCTTTTTTGCTTTCTCTCAGGACCAGGGCTTTTGCATTTTTTTCGCAGTCAAAGGGCAGTGGGTTCATAGTTTGATATATCATATATATATATATAGTAACAATAATAGTAATAATAACAATAGTACAGTAACAAAAATAACAATAATGAAATGTTCAATGACCCTAGCAGGAGTGAGACAATTTCATAAATGGGAACACCACAAAGACGAGGACAAGACACGTTACGCGTGTCTTCGCAGTTCTTGTTGGTTTGCCTTTGTTTGGTGAGGAGACGGCGGAACGGCTCAAACACATGGAGGCCGCGTTGCAGGCGGCTGACCGAGCGCTGCAAATTGGAGCCGCGCGGGGGGACTCCCTGGAAGTGGAGATCTCGGCACTGCATGGCGCGCTCGGACGACAAGCGCAGGATGCCGATGCCCGGCCGTGTGGAAGAATATCTTCAAGAAGCGCATGGGAGGGGGTGGAAGCGAAATCTAAAAAATGTATCCGAACAAATATATGGTATACAGCGGGTAATATATACGGTACTGTACGTGTATGTATAAAACTATATGTATATATACCTTTAAGTATACATACAAAATTAACACACACACAGATATATATATATATATACACATACACACACACATACTACCAAAAAAGGCCGCAATATGCCGTGCGAGACTAGCTTCTGGGGCCAATGTCCATTAGCACAGTTTGAGCCCACGGGGGATACCTGGGCGTTGCTGTGGTGCAGGAACATGGAAAAGAACGTGAGATGATTCTTTTGGGTGGGAACCTTTGGGTTTTAGATAGACATTTTCTCGTTTGGTGGATTCTGTCAGTCAGCTTCGATGCGCCAAGGAATCCAGGGGGTTGACGTTGAAAGAAGACCTGGAGCGGAAAGGTGCAGAAGACATGCAGGCGCTTTTAGACCAAACCGCCAAAGTGAAGGCAGAGCTACAGGCCAGTAAAGAGATGGAAGACCGGTTGCAAGGCCTTTGGCACAGCATGTCTGAGTGCCACGATCCTGCACAAGTCCTTGCAATGTGGAATCGTGATGGCATTCTGACCAGCGCACCATCCGAGCAGCAAAAGAGCTTTGGTTCTGGTTTGTGCGGTCTTTTTTCGTGGGTGAAGGTGCAGGGAAGGAGATAGAGAGAGAGAGAGAGAGAGAACAACAGGAAGATAAAGAGAGAGGGAGCGAGGGAGGGGAGGGAGGGAGGGAGGGAGGGAGAGAGAGATGTCGCTTCAAAGCTTCAAATACTGTGGGCATCGGCGGGAATCCCAAAGTGCAGGTTAATGTCTGCTTAGACCGGTGACCGAGGGTTTGGGACCGGGGCTCCTGGGATCTTGAGCATCCGAATTTGCATTGCCTGCAGGGCTATGTGAAGATTACGGACTTCGGCATCTCGAAGACGCTCGGCCCGTCACACCATTTTTTGCGATGATTCGTCACTCTTCCTCCCCTCGCGAGGAGGAAGAGTGACGTAGAGAACATGAAGTGATGAAGTCTGGCAAGTTTCGTGGTTTTTATCGGAGCTCCCAGGATGGTCACTGGCAAGACCTATACGGCCACGCGCTTGGCCGGTTTTGGAGTTTTTTGTTTCGGGGTTGGAGACGGTGTCACGCTCAAGAGCCAACATTTTCTGGAGGTATGTGTGTGCCTCATTGTGTCTCAACATGTTCTGCGCATGGTCAAGATGTGAGACAAACACAAGGTGCAGAACATGTTGAGAACTTTATAGAAGGAGTGTTTTCATTAGAAATCACCTTTTCAGTCTAAGACCCTCTTGCAAGTCTTCCGCAGCCAAGGTTTGTGGTACGGCGGATTATTTTGCTCCTGAGACGTTGAAGCAGGCGGATGGGCACATAAACGTGTTGGACATCCTTTTGTACTGTACATTTTTTTGGAACGCTGTGCAGATTGGCTTGAAGCAACTTATCACTATTCTCTGTTTGGATCTAGCTGCTAGCTCGGTGTTTCGATGCATCTTTGTAGAGACTGCAGATCAAATTTCTTGGAAGTTCTGTTGAATTCTCACGCAGATACTGTATCTGGAAAACCTGTTTCCATGCTGGAGGCACACACACACAAAGCTCACCCCCTAGTCCACAAACGCCAAAACCCTAATCCACAAACATGAAGCCCTAAGTCCACAAACACACGCGACATATGTACTTCAGATAGCTCCACTACTACACTACAGTGCGACAGCGTTCCTTAGACAGCCACAGCCACAGCGTCATCTAATCTACATGCTCCGACTACAGACTGCAGCAAACAGACTTTCACAGACACCTTAGACAGGGCCGTGGAGCAGATGAACACAACGGGGAAACGCTAGTAGTAGCAAGTGCATTACTACTATATATACAATAGCAAGATGCTACTAGTAGCGATGCCCTAGCTACTGGAATTGGAGACGCCAACGCAAATTAGCTTAGCAGATTAGTAGCAGAGGAATGTGGCGACCAAAGGTCGCATGCTGTGGCCAAACCAACGTCCAGATCTGCCAGGTTGGTCACAACCGTGCAGCAGACTGGTGGGTCGGGCTCTCAAGGTATATTTGCTTTGATGGCTTGAAGCCTCATGTTAGTAACAAGGGCATCGCTACTAGGAGCAAGAAGCTACTAGGGGCTCCTGGCCGTACTACTAGGAGCAGGGACGCTACGAACGGAGCAAAGGGGATATTTTTGAGGCTCTTGGCATCATGCTCTTCATCATGATTGCCGGCTACAGCCCTTTTGATGCGCCGGAGGCAGGTCGTGGAGAGGGGCCAAAACAGATGAACATGGTGACGTGTCTGGTTCATGAAAGAATCCTGCACCACCCGGGAGAGTGAACATGGCTCATTGCAGTGTTCTATTTTGTGCATCCCAGTGTTGCACGGTTTGTTGCAGTCAGCTACTAGGTAGGCTAAGGGGCATCATGAATGATAGAAGATCATCAAAGGATTTGGTGTTGCTTTATGATTTGGACTCCTCCAAGACGACGGTCGTCGATTCTGCCCACCAGCTGCTCGGAGCGGAACGAGCGCTGTCGGCGCCAGCTGATCCAGGAACATTTGGCGAGACTCCGCCGCTGCCACCACCTCCAGACAAGGGTTGTAGACGGTTGTAGGTTGTAGGATTCTGCACCTTACTGGCCGAATTCCAATCGGTTTGGTGTCCTTCTTTGGATTCCAGACATTATCCCAAGCTAGCCGAGTGATGGAAGGTGACGCAAATCTACAAGAATATTATCAAGGGCGCCGTCGCCAGGGACAGGACCGGTGAGCTCCCATGGAAGAGTGAGTGAGTCTGTCTCAAAATGACCTCAGCTGGCTTGTCAGATCTATGGGGGGTTCAGTGGTTTGCATTTACTTCTATTTCCAGGTGATTCCAGGGGGGTTGGAAGCGACGATGCTCAGGCACTACTTGCTTTAAGATGGTCAAATGGGAAGAGCCAAACACCATGCATTGCTCATCCTTTCAAGGACCTGTCAAAACCATGTGCCTGGTGTGCCAAACTGAGGCCTGTCCAAGATTCAATTCCCGGCGGTTTTCACCTCAGAGGCGGCGATTTTCCACCTCCGCGGGCCCTCCGCGGACCCTCCGCGGGCCCTCCGCGGGCCTCCACGCTCATCGAATTGGCAGAGTGCAGTACGCGGTTTTTTATCCTTTGGTATATACACTCCTCCCCCTACATAAGCCCGAAAAGAAAGACTATGAACAACGGAAAGCACCATGCAGGGTGAAACCGAAACCAAAGTTGGCGCAGGTGGGACTGCGATATCATCAAGGGCTTTTCGTTGTCAAATTTCACGCGAACATTTTTTTGCGCTTCTTTTTTTGGCGTAGCTAAGCGATGGGTTGGCAGAAGTTCTTCAAGGCCTGGAGATGAGATGATCAGGTCAATGTTCCACAAATGAGCTGGGATGGCTAAAGGAGCCTGAGCGCAGTACCGCATGTGACAAGCTTGCGGTTCTTGATACGGATGTAAACGATGGTAAAAGTTCAGCACACTTCCACCACGGCACAGGCATTAGGCCATTAGGCAGAAGCGGTGGCGAAGGCCCCAGTGAATCCAAAGACCGTTCAGATCTTACGGCACCTATTTTGGCACATTTACTTCTCTCATGGCCCATCAATTCGGAAAGAGATTGCAACCAGGCGGAAGAGGTGGTCCGCTCCCTATGCCGCAAGAAGCCCGAGGACCCCCTTCCTCGCGACACACTTCGCGAGGGAACCGGAACAACTTCCGTTCCAGAAAGGTGAGTCAGTTAATGTCAGTTGCATCCCGCGCATAATCCTCCAAACTTCACTTTTGAATATACACGAATTACACAAGTTCGTCGAAAGGCCATACTGTTCTGAAGTAAAGGTTCCCTTAAAGAAAGACTCGTTCGTTTGGCAGTCTTCGACTTCCAGGGTGCATGCTCTTTATATTTACTGTACCACCTTTTCCAGCCGCGCAGTCTTCAAACGAACCAGTGGTCTCTTTTTCCGACTTTGCCCCGTCTCACGCCGCGTCTCGCGTTCTAGCAGGATCGGATTGTGATGCAGCGGGGCGGCTTGAGTGGCTTGGCACAGTTGCCTGAGGGGTCGTGGGTATCCATTTCTATCCATTCGATATGAGAATCATCAGACATTTCTTGTGTAGACATGACAGTGTCTTGTCCCAGGGATATGGTGTCTGACAACACACGATGATGGTGCCTGTGGCCGATCGAAACGTGACACACGGGTGTAAAATGGGCCCCGCCGGACGTCCCCGCTGTTGGATGCTATATATATATATACAGTAATTGGATGATTCCATGGGTCCAACACCATTAGCGTCTGCTGGCAGCGAGGTAATCTCTCGGAGCTTCCCTTCTTTGCGGACTTAGACTGGGAGGCGTTGCTGTGTGACTTCTGCGCACGGGATTGATCTGCCTCTTGCAGGGAGACAAACATATGCGTAAGGAGCTTTTGGTAAGGTGAAGATCGCGGTGTTCGGACCGTATCATGCGGCTATACATGACAGATGATAGATCCTTACCATTACACAACGATTCCTTTTGAAGCCTCTGCGTGGGATTTTTTGCTGGAGCTTCGGCTAGAGTTAGAGGACGGGCTTTCCAAGTGATTTGTCAGGCCACAAAGAGCCTACCCCAAAACGCTGGGTATTGAAAAGATGTGCCCGTCCTGCAGTACGCGTTCTCTTGACCCAAAGGGCCGTGGGATCTTTCGATAAACATGTTTGAAGTTAGGAAATGGGCCGCCACAGGAACGGGGCCTCCGCTTCAGGAAGTGGCTAACCACAAGTTCCCGGCACCCTTCCAGCCGCCTGGGTGCTTGGGAATCTTGGGGCTGGGTGGGAAGGCTGAAGATCGCTAGTCAGATCTCTTCTGTAAAGCAATAATAGTAGCGATTGGTGTGCACCTAACGTAACAGCCAAACCGTCAAGCTGTCCAACAGCTGCTCCATGACGGGCTAGTTTCTGAGCCAAGGCACTCCTAACCCAAGGTTCTTCAAAGGTGTCCTTACTTCTTTGAGCTTTGTTTGTTCAGGGGCTGGTGACAGAGTAGGTATTGACCTGATACTGAAGTTTTAATTCTTGAAGAAGAGCCCGCCTGCTGGTCCTGACTATGAGGCGGTCACATGCGGTCACAGTGGGGTGTCCCCTGCAGCAGGGAATTGCTTGTGAGAGCGGTGAAGCGAAGGTAATGTTACCATGGATGTCAGCAGAAGTCCTGCACAAGTCCTGCTTGATCATTGCCGGCCCTCAGGGAGGGCGCGGACTATACCAAGATCGGGAACAGGCGTGTCGCAGTTGGTGAAGGGGTCGACAATGCACCCCCAAGCAGTTGCTGGATGGCCAGAGGATGACATCTCCGGAAATCTCCAGATTGTTGAGCCAAGCCGGTCAGTCACCAGATTCGTTTGGGGCCAGGCAGCTGTCCTCGAGCTTCGAGATTGAATGGGAGGAGTTGGTACCGTTGGGGGCTCCAAGAGAGTCAAAAGCCGATGGAGTCCAAAAAGAGGTCTTCAAAAGGGGGGCGAACGTCGTTTCATCTTTTCAAAGATGCTAAGATGCACGTCGTTTTGTGAAGGCCGAACACCAGCGGATTCTTAGACTCTCTCTTTTTAATTGTTGCGGATGCACCAGGGGCGCTTGGTACTGTCATCATTTTTTATATGCATACATAGCCCGCTCTAGGGAGGGTATACCATAGCGCTCCCCAACATGGAAAGGAGCGGCGTCACGGGGTCCCATTCATCTTTAGAGCGATTTACTTTGGTACCGATTTTAGTATCACAATCAGGGTATCGTAACCCCTTCCCTCTTCAGAGCTGCTTGACATCCTTGCCCACATCTCCTCCAGGTGGCTGTTTGATGCTGAGGAGGACCTTGAAAAGCATCACCAGGAAAGCCTCCAGTGAATTTTTTGACTTTCTGCTGAGGTGGTGCCCACGTGTAGAAGTCTTTGATGAGCATTTTATAACTGAGTTTGGTCAATGTCTCATTGCGGCCACGCTCGACATCACGAGGCCTGGCTCAAAGACTCCTCTGTAGCGACCGGCCACGATGCTTGCCTGCACCCGCCGAGCCGCACGGAAGGCAGCGCCTGCGTGGGCGCATGGCTTTGGGCCCTGCCTTCAACAGAGGTGGGGGGTGGAGGAAAAAACCAGCCCGGTGAAGGGGGATATCTGAATGATATCAAAAAATATCAAAACATATCATACATTACGCGATGTTTGAGGGTGTGAGGGTGCCAGATATTTTCCATCAATATTATATATATAGCTTTAGCCAAGAGACATCGGGCCCTTGAGAGGTATCTGCACCAGAGCAGCCCACGCTGGAGCATGGCTGTGAACCCGGGCTTTCCGGTGATGTGGACCACTATCCACGACAAGCCGGGCTATGATGATGTGCCTTGGTCAGTGGATGACCGTTGCAGGGACACCCAAATGGACTCTGCGCCCCCCCAGACACAGCATACACACCTATTTGAACTGTTGGGTCAAATATTTGCCTTGTCGTCCGAGTGTCCCCATGCATCTGGACCTTTGCATAGATAGATAGATAGATAGATGGATGTATAGATACGATAGATAGATGGATGGATAGATTAGATAGATAGATAGATAGATAGATAGATAGATAGTTTCAGTTTCCGTTTCGTGCGCTCTCGAGTAGTCTCAAGAAAGCGGGGCTCAAGGTATGTTACCTCGGTTGATACTGTGATCAATCTTGCCACACCGCAGTGCTCTACAACCGGCCAACGGCCACAACTGTAAACAAAAACAAAAAGTCACACTGATGCCAAAAGCCGCTATGGCAGCATCATGGAAGGACAAAGCTTGCGTGTACATGATTGGTGATTCCAGCTATATACAGGTGACCACAGCAGGGAGTCGATCGGAGTTGGGAGCAACATCAAAGCGGAGGGTCTAGCTCAATCTCCTCAGGAGAGGGCTCAGACAGTAAAACCTCCACGTGACCAGCGCAGTCACTTCATACTTTCACATTTGATCATGACTCATATGATTGAGCTCAATCTCCTTAGGAGAGGGCTACAAATCAATTCAGAGTACTCAGTTGGTGGAGTTCAGACAAGCCTCAAGACCCATGTTGGCATTCCGCTCCTTTTCAGATCTACCAAACTCAGAGGCTGTGCTCAATGGGTCCTGCAACCGCCCGTGGTAGTGGAGTGAATCCACATGGAGAGTGAGCTCAACCATTCTTCCGTGGTGTAGCTGCAAAGGCACATGCTGGAGACAACGTCCTGCATCACATCCCTGATGATGATCTAAGGTTCCAGGCCCGGTAGGATATTCATCAATATGTGCATCTTCAATAATGGTGACTCTATGTCCACCAGGAAGTGTTGCAGTGTTGTCACTTCTTGAACATGGTGGCTTTCGTTGTTGCTTCCAGATGCCCTTTTGTAGCAATCCCACCTGCTCATTTTCCCCATGAAGGTTCTGGAGTGTCCTCCTAGGTTCCAAGGTGTGCTCATCCTCATTTTGCTCTCCATCCGGCAGTGGCATGTCCATGTCTTCAGCCAAGGGTAGAGCTTCCCATGTATCATCAGTGTCTCCAGTTTGTATACTGTTGGTCCAAGTCGTCGAATCGTGCGGAAACAACATCTCCATACTGCTATGCAGCCGAAGTTGCAAGACACTGCCGGGACGAAGAGGAACATCTTGATGACCGAAGACTCTCCTCCTATCCAAGAAGGCTTCATAAGGCCGATCAATGCGAGTTTGGTGTTCAGCCCAGTTGAGCATTCCGGCAACTCGCTCAAATCGAAAAGCCATGTAAACAAAATGCTCAATTCGTCCGGTTGTTCGAATCTGAATGACAATGGGTATTTGGCCCTGGATAAGCTCCTGAATGACCAGAATAGAGGGGGTGTTCTGATAGACTTCCTCCTGCAGAGGAAATGCGCGACTATACTCCCAATACAATTGAAATGTCATCTCTTGGAACCAATCAGCCAGAAGACAGACCGGTCTGGAGCTCGTCAACAGCCAATTTGGACACTCCACTGGTTCTCACGTCGGTAGCCCAGTATATGGACAAAGACAGTATCAGGCTGGATTCGTAGTGGAAAATTGTTGTCGTACTCCGTCAGACATCTTCGGACATTGCTCCAGGTCTGTAACCAATCATAGTCCAGATTGCGAAACGGTCCATGCATAGGGGGCTCATCACTTGTGCTGAAACAATCATTGTCCTCGAGCTCAACTTAGAAGGGGGTGCTTCATCATCCCTCTCATTTTCTCGCAATGATCCACCATAGGATTGATGAGGTCCTGCAAGTTGCATGAGGGCCATATCTTCAATCTCTCCACATTCTTGATTTTGTGGCTGTCGAAGATTCCATGATCCAGCATTTGGTATGACCACTCCAGGCCGTACCACTCCAGATACTGAAGTCTGTAACAGCATATGTTCGTCCTCAGTGGTGTCTTGTTGTATGACAAGTGGTACATGTCCTTGAAGGTTCAGGGAGGAGCGTATGAATCGGTTCCAGACTGATTGGCCTTGTGGCTGCAGTCGTCTCAGCTTGTCATAATCACCTTGGAGTCCAAGCTCGATAACCTGAATGTCAATTCGCATACCCTCCAGAACTTGCCAAGCCACCAGAGTGGGTAATTCATGTTGTTGGTGAGATACTTCACAGCGAAGCACCGCAGAATTGCAGAATTCATAGAGGGCCAATCTGCAAAACAGCATGTCCGTCGTGATACGGGCACTGGTGCTATTCCCTGTCTCACCCCCATCGCCGCAACAAGCACCATTTTGGTGGAGAAGGCAACTTGCACTCCCACAAGCACACAAACTGCCCCTCTATCCATTTGTTGGTCAGAAGTCGGGGTTGGTGTGACTGCAATAAATCTTGCACGTGCTCGAAGAGGCACGTCCGGATCAAGGAATCTTCTCAACTTCCACATCAGATTACTGGATCGAGGACAAATTCGTGGTGGAGGAAGCGAACTGATCTCGGAAGACGGATGTCTGCGCCAAACAGCAAAATCGGTGGGAAATAGCCTTGCTCCAGTCTCATGAGGCCCCAAGACCTTGAAAGCTCGGAAAGATAGTGTGCCTCATTGCCCTTCTGGCCATGATGAACCATTCAGTTTCCTCCTGAAGGGTAATAAGTGCCCGATCTTCAATGTGGATCTCCCCCTCCTCAATCAGCATGCGACCTTTGCAGGAATTGATACATGCTCACCTGGTCAGTGTCAAAGGGGATATCGACGACCACCTCCGTCTGCAGGAGCAATAGTGCAGAAAGGGGATCAACATTTTGTTCCTGGGCAAGTTGTTCCTCCCCCACTGGAAAGCGCTCAGGTTCTCTGGTGTGGCTGATGAGGAAGCTTGACCCGTGTGGTTCAGCAACCTTGTCATAGTAAGTCCAGACTTCGTGGATCCCATGTTGAGAGCGTATCAGGTAACAAGGCCGCCTCAAACATCTGTTTCCATAACCAGTACGAGCAATCACATCACAAGCCAACTCTCGCCCCGTGAAAAGCCAAGCCTGCTTCTGCGGGATGGTGTGTATGCTCTGTATCCCAGACGAAGCTGATCTCGAGTGGCCCCAAGCAGGTTTGGTACAGCCCGATCTCTGGAAACAAGGTCATTGACAGTTTCTAAGGTCAGCCCAACAGAGTCATGAGCATCATCTCTGCACTTCCACCAGATTTCACTTACAAGTGGCCTGTCATCCACCAGTAGCATATATGGTACCCATACTGGTTCATGAAGGTACCTAGGTATCCAGATATGGACAGCACGGACTTTGACTTCAAATTCTTTGCGTGTCAGGTACTTCCATACAGGATCGGATCGTCAGAAAGTGACGGTGGATGAGGTGGGGCTTCAATGAAGATCAGATCAGGGTCAAAGCTCCCAAAGAGTTCCCTTCTCTGTACTGGTTGTGGATCCGGATGATTTTTGAATTTGTGCGCCGTGTGGAGTTGCAGCGTTCTCTCCAAAACCATGCGACGCACCTGAGGTTTGCATGAGGGAGATCATATCCCACCATTGTTTCTCTGTATCATATTTTTGAAGATCTCTCGAAATGGTATTGAAGTTGATGTCACACCCAGGCCACTGCTGATGAATCGGTCCCTTCCCTATTCAAAGAGGGCCAAAATTCATAGGTTTCTGCATGAGTGCCACAGAGTCATCTGGTTCCGCACGGGCATCTCTGTTGCTCCTGTGAGCAGGATGTTGAGGTCTCAAGCCATGGACATAGGGATTGCGTGGAACCGCCTCCATCAAGTGATCCGCAACATTTCGAGCACAACGCTCTTCAACCTGTCACACGGATCAATTTTGATATTGCTGGGCTTGAAATCCAGATCAACCAGAGATGCAACCGGCAATAATATCATTTCAGTGTTTGTAAAGCTTTTCCGGCAATCCCCATGCCTGAAATGAACTTGGCACAGTGTCCATAAACCACAGAATGCCATCTGTCCAAGCTGATGGAACAGCATCAATGGTGTGCATGGAATTTCGCATCGGACAGCTCGTAGACCCGCAGTTCGATCAAAGGACAGGGTTACAACCAACGCGAGACTGCTGCTTTGGAAGTAATCTCCAGGCAAGAAGACAAATCTCACATCAATGTTCTGCTCGACCGAGGGGAAGGACAACCGTTGAGGCAACACTGAAAAACCTGCTGAATGCAGCAATCCAGCTCCCCTCAGCAGATGTTCGAGTTGTTGGGACCAATTCTCAGGAGGCTGAAGTCCCCACGAGAACTCTCTTCCAACCTCTTGTTCATTGCTCGTGAACAGCCATCCTTGGAGAGCAAGCCTGTCTCCCTGAAAGCCTTGTCGTTGGGAGTGTCCACGGACAATGTCTTCTCTGCGCCATACCCATGCTGTAGCCACCAGCTCATGGTTCAGGATTAGCGGAGGCCCCCAAAAAGATCGGAGCCAACAGGCACGCAGGAAGGCTTGGATGGATGTCCTTCCTCGACCTTGCTCCAACCCAGATCCATCATTCGGAGTTGCAGTGTTATCTCCGCTTAACTGCATCAACATGGTGGTGTCTTCATCACCTTCAAGGTTCCTGGCAGGGGATTGCGCCCTCGTGTCTGCAGCACAGGTCTCATCTGGTGAGATAGCTTCAAAAATCATCTCGAAGGTCGAGCCATGTGGCCTAGGAATTTGCTGCATATACTCCCACCGGGATTGAGTTTCCCCTTGGGACTGTACCAACACGCACTTGACTCTCGTGTTGAAGCAAAACTCGCCCAAGCCTGCCTTCAGCACCAAGTCCCGCAGAAGATCTCCAGGATGATACACAATGGCCATCCTCTTGGGAAGTGTCGAAAATAAGACGTCAACCAGAAAAACCCTTTCCTCTCGTCGCTGCTGTTTTGTCAATATGATGAGGTCAACAGGGGGTACTCTGAGAGTGAAAGGAGCAGGCTGTGGAGTGGCCAAAGTCAGAAACAGAGGTTGCTTATCTTCAAGGTCTTGCCACAACCGAAGCAGCGAAATCATATAGGATCGACCAATCTGCATGACACCTACTCGAGCCATCGACGAAACCTGATGTTGAATACCCCAGGTGTAAACCGTGAAGAAGGATCGTGATCCTATATCAACATTCGCAGCAAGGTAGGTGCGCAAAAGATCAGGCCCATGACTATTGCGATTGTCAATCTGCAGCATAGGTGGATGGGCAACATTCTCCAAGCCCCTGGTAGCATGCAGCATTTCATGGAGTTCAGGATTGAGTAACTCTTCCATCTCAAACGCACTCTGCCAGGGAAGTTGCATCATGACAGTGATATCCTCGAGCAATGCTGTAGATCCCATGTCACTAGAATCGGCAGGAGCTGATCCAAGCTGAGAACGAGGGTCTGAGAAGTCACTAACCAAGAACGGATGAAAGTCCAGGAATATCACATCATCCACCTGCAGTGTGAGCCACTGCATGAATTGAGTGAATGATGTAGGTGGAAGGACCATGTTGTTCCAGGTTATCACCGTCATTCCAATCCTTTGACATAGCCAGTACGGAGATGGAGTTGGATCTCTCAAGCTCATAGGTTGCGCAGACCAGTTGGGTGTCTTCATCAAAGTTTGCCCCCCGTAGAGAGCAACGCCATGTTGTGCCAATCGTTTGTACACAAGCTTCCGGCTTCGTTTTTGTTTGGTGATCCCGTGGGGTCCTACAAGCCCTCCGCCCAGAAGTTCAGGGTGATGCCGGTGGAACATCGCATTTTGATTTCCCCTTTCAGGATAGTGCTGGGCCACTATCCAACCTTTCCCTTTTCCGTTCCAACAAAATGTGTTGAACTCGCCAAGATGCTCAGGAACGGACCCGGAATTAGGACCGGGCAGCAAGGAACAGCCCGCAACATAGGGCAGCCACCTGTCCAAAGGTCCAGCGTGTAACCAAACCAGGAGGAGCAAGGCGCGGATTCCAAAAAAGTGAAGCCAAGTCATGGCAGCGACCGTGGAGCGTGGCCGGGCATGGCCATTCGATGCTGAAAGGCTGATAGATAGATAGATAGACAGACAGACAGATAGATAGATAGATAGATAAGATAGATAGATAGATGGATGGATGGATGGATGGTTGGATGGATGGATGGATGGATGGATGGATAAGAAAGATAGATAGATAGACAGATAGATAGATAGATAGACGGATGACAGATGGATAGATAGATAGATAGATGATAGATAGATAGATAGATAGATAAGATAGATAGATAGATAGATAGATGGATGGATGGATGGATGGATAAGAAAGATAGATAGATAGACAGATAGATAGATAGATAGACGGATGACAGATGGATAGATAGATAGATAGATAGATGGGTGACAGATGGATAGACATACATGGATGGATGGATAGAGATAGAGATAGAGATGAAGATGGTGAGGGAGAGGGGGAGGGAGAGGGAGAGGGAGAGGGAGAGGGAGAGGGAGAGAGAGAGGGAGAGGGAGAGCGAGAGCGAGAGCGAGAGCGAGCGCGAGAGCGAGAGAGAGAGAGAGAGAGAGAGAGAGGGGGAGGGAGGGAGAGAGGGAGAGAAAGGAGAGAAAGGAGAGAAAGGAGAGAAAGGAGAGAAAGG